ATTCTTTCCATGCATCCACTTTATATTGTGATCCAAAGATGTCAGCTGCAACTTGAAGCTCTCTTAATCAGGCCAAAAAATAGCATGGGGGCATAGTTTACAAAAATAAAATCCAAGAGAAGCAGAGAACAGATGGGGAAGAGAAAAAGGTTAAAATCATAATGGCGTGAGAGAGTAGCACCATGGGTTTGTAAGAATAGTGAAAGCTGGTGTCTAGTGTGGCCATTGGAGTGGCAGGTGATGAGTGGATAATGACAGTGGGAGGAGTAATGTTGACCCCGATGACCATTGGCCTCGGAACGGCTGGAGCTGATGTGGACGAGAAGGAAGTGGCCGCCCTGTTTGAGAGGGGATATCCTGCTCATCCCTCTTCCGCTTATCACAAGAACTGTTGTTTTACAGTTAGTATGTCAAACTGACTTTGAGCTTTTGTAGCAGCGTTCCAAGGTTTGATTCCAGCATGTTTGAGTTATCTAATACAGTATCAAAGACCATGGGAGCGGATCCCTCTCTCTCTGTGGACCTCACCGAGGTTTCTCACCTTTTCCCACTGGGTTCCAGAGTTGTTCCTTGCCCGTGCAGGAGGGTCTATTGGACCCTTGTGAGGCTCTAACAAAAAGCAAAATGGTGATGATACAGGAAACTCAATATTCAACAACATTTATCAACATTTATGGGCATTGGTCATCTCCCCCTTTTGGGGCAGATGACCCATAAGCTGTAACCCTGACAACATGAATCCTCCATTTTACCTTTATTACATTATTGTGCAGCTAACGACTTCTCAATATTAGATGCTGTTTCTTCAAGTCATGCCACTTGGGCATCTCAACTCACAACAGAGCCATAATGCACTGTTGAAGTGAAAAGTCATGTTGTGCCTGATTCTGCGCCTTGTTGCCTTTCAGTGCAGAATAAACACTGTACTGTAGTTGTGTCATGCAAGCTCACAAAAAAGGAAAAAAGAGCACCACAAACATTGTTTAGTCTACTTGTTTATTTGAAAGATCTTAACATTGTTTTGAAAACAAAACAAACTTATAATCATAGAATTACTCATTATAATTACATACTATAAGTTCATTTCATTTCATTTCATTTTCATTTCATTTCATTTATTTCAAACCTGCAGGTGTATACAAACAGGAAAAACAAAATACAAGGTCTGCTTCGTTTGAAAGGGGGATGATGGAAGCTTACGCTTATTCAAAACCACCCCCCCACACACTCCACTTGCAGACAAATCATTTACACAAATAATTACAACACAAGACATTCAATATTCAACACAACACAACAAACACACAGGCCCAATACTCACCAACCCCACACCCCTCTCCTACTATCACAATTACAATTACATAAAGGTATCATGTTCTCTCACCCAGGTACTTTTCCATCACAAGGCTTTTAAAATGTCGTTTGAACTGGGTCAAATTTAAACAGTTTTTTATGTCCTCAGTGAGTCCATTCCACAAACTCACTCCTCTTACAGAAATACACATAGACTTGAGTGTTGTTCTGACTCGTGGTTGGTATAATCTATGGACTCTTCTCAAATTCACTTGGAGCTGAGTGTCTCTATCACGAAAAAGATTTTGGATGTTTGCTGGAAGAGAGTGTTTTGATACCTTGAACATAACTTGTGCAGTTTTATAATTGACCAAGTCCTCTAATTTTAAATAACTGTTATTAATAAAAAGCTGGTTTGTGTGCTCATTGTAAGGGACTTTGTGAACGATCCTAAGTGCTCTTTTCTGGAGTGTAATCAAAGGCAATAGGTTTGTTTTATAACAATTTCCCCAAACTTCAATACAATAATTCAAATGTGACATTACAAGTGAGTGATACAATATTTGCAGTGCTTTTACATTTAGTACACAACTACATTTCTTGATGACACCAACACACTTGGCAACTTTTGAACGTAAATAACTAATATGGGGTTTCCAGGAAATATTTTCGTCCAGCATCACCCCCAGGAACAAATTTTGCTGGACCCTTTCAATTTGAACATCATCAATAAATATGTTAACAGTTTTATCCAATTTTCTCTTTCCAAATAACATTACTTTAGTTTTTTTTAGATTTAATGATAGTTTATTTGAATGGAACCAGTTTTTAATTGTTTTTAATTCAGTAGTTACTTCGTCCAAGAGTTGCTCCAAATTCTCCCCAGACAAAATGATATTTGTATCATCTGCGAAGAGTACACACTTCATGCATTTGGATAATTTACAGAATTCATTAATGTACAGTAGAAAGAGTTATAATAGAATAGAATAGAATAGACTTTAAAACAGCTCTGCTTGTGTACAAGTCTCTCCATGGCCTAGCACCAAAATATATTAGTGACATGTTAGTCCCATATGAACCAGCCCGGACTCTGAGGAGCACAGGGACTGGACTCCTGTGAGTGCCCAGAGTCAGAACTAAACATGGGGAGGCTGCTTTTCAGATTCATGCTGCTAAAATCTGGAACAGTCTTCCTGAAGATGTGAGACAGGCCTCCTCGATGACAATGTTTAAAACCAGGTTAAAGACAGTTCTGTTTAGCTGTGCATACAACTGAGGGATTTTATATTTGTATCTTTCTTTTTAATGTACTGTGATTATTTATGATTTTAATGCTTTCTTATTTTGTTCAGCACTTTGAATTGCCTTGTGTATGAATTGTGCTATATAAATGACCCTCAAAGACACATGGCATAATTCGTTCGCTCTGTACACAGAGATGATAAACTACTATTGTTCTCACTCATTCTAATCAATGTGGGTGAAGTGTCTTGGCTACAACAACAGTTTGGCACTTTACAGCCGCCCCACGGCACCTGGTGTTCTCAGAGGTCTCCCATCACAGTACCAACCAGGCCATGCCCTGCTTAGCTTCTCAAATGTTCCCTGAGGCAGGCTGATGAATTATGTAGCTTTACTAACCGGTACCCACCCTCAATCTCTATGAAAACCCAATTCCAAACTCATATATTATTTGGCCCACGGAAGCAACAACATCTCTGATGGGAGCTGAGTCCAATCGATAATGGCCACAGAACATTTTGCTTTTCATGAGCGACATAAGCAAGCACATAAACGCTGTTCAGAGAACGTCAATTTATTGACTGTAAAATTGTGCCACCATTTCTTGCTCATCACTGCTCATCGTATCACACCAAACATGGCCCACAGTTGTCCCTGCACAGATGGCGGCACAGGACTTCTCACATGTACTGACGGCCACAAGCTCGTCTGGTGACTTTTCATCACACCACAACTGACGCACAGCTGAAGTTCTGTGGATGGGAAAGCAACTGATACTATCACTGTTTACATGGTCCACACATCCATACCGTTCTCAAATCTCAAACATGTCTTAGTGTTTTGTGAATATTTGTTACAAAATGAGGATTAAGTGAAACCACAGGCCCTCCATCCATTAATCTATTTTCATTCCACTTTTTCCGTTGCCAGGTCACAACATTAGTAGAGACGTCCAGACTTCACTAACCATGCACACTTCCCAGGAGTCCTCTCCCGTTGGGACATGCCCAGAAAACCTGGAGGCAACCTGGAAGCATCCTAAATAGATTCCCGAGTGTAGCATTGGAGCTCCTCTTCTGGGACTGAGGTCCTCATCTCAAAAAGGAGCGACCCAATCTACCAAGGAAACTCATTTCAACCGCTTTTACCAGCGATCCAAAGCTCATCACATCATGTTGAAAATGTAGATCTCCCAGTATATCAATAATTTGACTTTCATCAAATTAGTTATTTTGGAGTACAACCCAACTATAATCTAAATTTTCAATGTATGTTTTTCAAGCATACACATGCTCTGCCCATGATCCCACTCATAGAATGAATAGCATATCATTTTTAAACTAAGACTGTGATCCTCTGCCCTATTTGGCCTAAAGCCATATAACAAAGTCCTAAATCAAGTCTGTAGGAAAGATTAATGAGTTTATTGTTGTCATTTTACCAAAATAGTATCATATTCTTTTCACTGTTTGCTTCATTGTAAATTGTCATTAGTTCCCTTTGTAATCCGAGCATTCCTTGATGATAAACACTACTTTGCTTTCCCTATTCTACATCAAAGCAAGGCCACACCGAAAACTTCAAGCCAATTTTGGCAGTGCCCTCCTACCTCCAGATCCAGTAATTACAGCTCATAGAATACATCAACATGATTACTTGTCAGGCCGGTGAACAATAATACCACACACTTCAAAGAGCAGACTCATATTTCAAGAGAAAAATACAAACTCATTGATTATGCATTAGGAGAGGCTTGTAGTTCAACCTTGTAAAACTGTTGGAGATCACACAAACGAATAATACCAACTTTTATTTTTGTGTTTCAAAACATTCATTAGGAAGATAAAAAAAGAGTTTGGAATCAAGTCACAAAATACTTCATGGACAGGTATGTAGTACAAGCAAGTTTTGTACGGGAAAGACAAATGGATTGAGATTTCCGAGCATTCTGTACGTGATACAATACTGCCTCCTTGTGTCGGTTAATTGCCGACAGGCGGGCAAAAAAAAGGACAAAAATAATTCAAATAGCCTTTACAAATGTGTTATTTATTTTTCACGTCCTTAAAAAAAGAATAAATAAAATAAAAACTATTCCGTTGACAACAATTACTCAATTACAACGATTCCCTCTTTCTCTTTTGTGGTGCATTAATTATCATCCATTTGTAATAAATAAATATATACAAAATGACACAAAATAATAGCAAAATAAAACAATGCGACCAAAACCCATCCTGTGTTCTCTGTCTCATCATGGGCTGCTGCATGTTTTAGTTGAAATAGTATATGTCCTCGAAATTATTGTGTCATTGACCGTATTATTACATGGTAAATGGTATATTACCATAAAATAGATTAATTATTTTTTATATGTGTACATTTACAATCTTAATTTGTCTCACTTTCGTGACTTCTGTAAACATGTGATTCCCCTACGTCACGTGACCTTACTCTCAGTCATGGCCGACGACTACAGGCGACAGGGGTTTGAGTTGGAGAGAAGAATATTCGACCTAGACGTCAAATGCTCCAGTCTCAAAGCCGAGAAACCTGGTGTGTGTCGTTTCTTAATGCATATTTCATCATCTTGATGCTTTTCATGGTAGCGTTTAGTCGGTTTGAAGCTATTCCACTTCATTAGCCAGCAGCAAACCTAGCAACTAGCTAACTGTTATCCCGGTTAGCTTGCAACTATAGCAACAGCGCTGTCTGATGAAAATGTTGAGAAAATATGCTTCTCTGGAGTTTAGGACACAACTAGCCTGTGCCTGGACCACCAATGCTCACAACAGTCTCCGATTGCTCCAGTCAATTATTCTCAAACTGGAATTAACTCGTGTTAATGCTCTGGAAAGGCGGCTTGTTTGCTAGCGGTGTCATGTTTGATGTGAACAGAGCGTTGTTTCGGTTTCTCTGCTTAGTTTCTTCTTCTGTTATTGTTGCGATTGTGTGTTGTATGGAAGTTTGCATAATGTGACGATAGAACATTTCTAAATGTGTGTTCATCCCCATAAGTTTGTATGACGTAGACAAAACACATTACATGAGCTAATTCTTCATTTTTTCTGCTGTTTTCAGATGATGACTATCTGCAGAATGCAGCGTCCATAATAGAGAAGTTGCATAGCTATTTTAGGCACGGAGGAGAAAGCAGCACTCTGTCCAAGCTGCTGCAGGATTACACACAGGTATTCACTCTCAACTAAACAATAAGTGACAACACAATGTTATTGTTCTTGAGCAGGTGACTCAGCAGTATTGTAAACAGTGGTGGTACTTTGAATCCTGTCAAACAATGAACATACTTGTGATTCTTTAGGTGATTCTTGACATCACATTCTTCGAGGAGAATAGACTTGTAGACTTGGAGTTCCCAGAAGAATGTTCACCAGCAAAGATCCAGCAACTTCTTCAAGATTTAACTGAACCAGAGGTTTTGGCTGGAAGACTTGCACCAGGACAAGAGGTTTGTGTCACTAATATGACCTTTACATTCACACTGATATTCGATCTATATGAAACTAGTGTACGTGAGTGATAGTGTTGGTGGGAGAGGCTGATGACGCACTCACGTCTGTCAGTCTGTTTGGAAGCAACACCAGTAGCTTGCCATCACAAAGTAAATGTTTTATGTAAATGTATTTAACTTTTTGGCTTCAAACCCAAAAGTCAGAAGGATCCTGAGCTTTCATGATCCATATTCATACTGAAAATATATATCAAGTTAACAAAACTGCTAGAGAAGTCAGAAAATGTATATATCTTCTGGATTAAAAAATCTGTTGAACCAAAATAAGTGGGAAGTGAATGCTGTATTGCATTAGTTTTAAAAAAGAAAAGAGGCTAAACTATGCACTATTGTTAATAACCAATGACTTAATACTGTGACAGAAGTGCGCAACATTTTATCTAAGATCTTTTCCAGAAAACTGAGAGCAGAGATCCACATCACATGACTGAATCGCTGGGGTGTAATGATTCAGAAATGTTGATGCATTGCTCTCTGTGATGACAAGTTTCATTATTCCGATTTTGTCGCCAGAAAATTCTATTTGTTTTCACTTATTCACAAACTATTTTTGTAACAAGTACAAATACATTTCTGCTTTTTTTAAACACTCTAGACTGTCGCTTTTATCAAACATTTTTCTTGCAAGTATTACAGCTCTGTAACGTTGATATTTGTATTTTAAGAGGAATCCGCTCCTCATATATTTTATTCACGTCAATTAAGGTGGCTTTGCAATGATCCATTTAATTGTTACGGAATATATTGATAGAATATAAAAAAAAATATTTTAACAAAATTGTTGGTTACAGCCCTAATTGTGCCCTTTTTGTATTGCCAGATATAATGCTATGCACACCCCTACTTTATACGGTCTATGGTCCTGTTGCACTTCTGTCTCTTTGTGTGTGTTTGCGGGCTTGTAGATAGTGAGGGACTGGTTGCCGAAATAAAGTATTAAAGTCTGAACAGCTGCACAGACTACAATTATTATTTTACAGTCACAAAGTACATTACCCTTTGGTCTGCGACAGGTGCAGTCTGTGCTGGGTCTGGAGTTACTCGAATGCCTTTACTGGAGACGTGGAGCTTTGCTGTACATGTATTGCCACACTCTTCACCAGAGAAAACAGTGGATTAAGAAAAACAAGGAGACATTTCTGAAGGTGAGTTAAATATGATGGTTGTGTGGTTCCTAGTTGTCTTGTGTAGTTACGCCATTAGTTACTCTGCTGCAGTGCATTCAAGAAGGAGTGCGGTATCTGATGCGGATGTTGCAAGTGAGGAACTCTGTGAAACTCAGTGATGGGGTTGTCCTTCATGACACTGCTACAGCCAACTTTCTCTCTGAAGGTAATGAGTCTGATGGTTCACTACACTCTTTTGATATGATGCAAAATGCCACATTTCAAACTGTCTTCTTCTGGAATAGGTGTTTTCTCAGACACACACCTATTGACCATGATGTACATTGGAGAGATGTGTTTCTGGGCTGTGAAGTATGAAGACTGCAGTGCGGACTCAACAGAACGCAAAGAGGACCGCCTTCAGTTTCGGGACATTGGCACGCAGATTCTTCATAAATATGTAACTGCATGTGAGGGCCCCCTACAGGGTCAGGGATGGAACACTGAAAACGCTAAGGAAATCCTGAGTATTTTGCAGTGAAGCAGACGGGCTCTGTTTGGTCTTCAGTATTACAATGGTGCCAAACCCCAAATACAAAAGTGATTCCATCAGCGGTGGGGTCCAATTCTATAAGTCTAATTGAAGACTTTTTGAAAGATAATTCTGTTTAAGTTTAAAAGTTAACCTTCGCCAACAGCCGCAGCCAAAGCAGGGAGAAATCAGAGGTGACAAAGTTTTAACATTTCAAGATGGCACTGTGGAAGTTTTTTTGTTTTTTTTTACCTGCCCTGCTGAAAGGCTACATACCCTTGTTCCAGATTGTTGAGCAGGGCATTTGTTTTGCTCTAGGAATGTGTTTTAATAACATAAAGATTAATGTAAAAATAATATAATATTGACCTTTTTTTTAAGATTGTTACAAGTTTAAAGATAATCCAGCTTGAAATGAGACATTATTGCACAGTAACCTTTTTATTTATTTTGTTGCAATTTTGCTATGCTTTTAATATATAATAACTGCATACATATAATTGTATGTGTGTGCGTTTGTGTGTGTTTGATGAGAGGCAAAGAAAATATGTCTGAAAAGATTTGAAACAAGATGTATTTACCTGGTCCATTTTTTTGTTCATCATTTCAATCTGTTGCAATTCCATCTTCTGTAATTCCATTTGCTGTCACTCAAAAAGATTTCGTTTACCATTTTCCAAAAAAAGAGTAATTGTGTTTGGGTCATTTTTTATGTCTTCGTTGACAATAAACACGAGACACGTTGCTACTTTGGCGTTTGCTAAGTTTGTGACGAACCACATTTCCCATAATTCCTTGATGTCAGCTATGAGGAAGTGCTCTTCACAAACAAATCAAACACGTAAACAGAAGTGACTGGCAATTCTTATTATCTGGAAAGGCACATCACAGCTCTGGGATATTGTTGAGCGATGTCCCAAAGTCTCCGTGAGTCTGTGGTCCAGAATCTGCGGCTCCTCAGGCAGCGGTACTTCAGCAGTGGCTCTGTCTCCGAGACTGAGGAGCAACATGACGCTCTATCGGGATTTTTGGAACGTTTACCGGTAAGGTTTTGTGATTTCTCATTAAAACAATTGGAGTTTGATAATACAATAAATAAACACGCACCTGTCATACTACTTCCTATAAAACTCACTGAGATCATTCATCGCAACCTAAAAGAGACATTGCTTCATTCAACACAGACTTGTACATTTACGACACAACTTAAATCAGACCAACGCAAAGTGAATCTCAAAGCTGCAGGAGACAGTTTGTCCGAATGGCCAGATGCATTATTATGTGGTTAAAGTGCTTCTAAATTCAAAATTTATTATTTGTGTATGAAACTACGGAAGCTTATTGCATTCACTTGAATTAAAAAAGTTTCTGTTTTTATGAGAGGATTTATTTGTCTCGTAAAAACAGGATTTTTTTAAAGTCATAAAAACAGGATTTATTTGTCTCATAAAACAAACTTTTTTTTAATTCAAGTGAATGCAATAAGCTTCCGTATGAAACACTTCGGTATTACGACTGTTTAGATTGGAGAGCCATTCTTGATCAAATGAACGAATGCTCTGTCATCGATTAGTCGACTAAAAAGGCTGACACAAACTATGCAGGCATACTCAAAAAAACAGATATTTAGGAATAACATAACTAAAAAAAAATATTGAATGAAAATAATTAAAATTAAACAATAAGAGACAGGTGGGCAGGGCTGTTGCTACAGATTGGCAGCCTCACATCTGTCAGTTTACCCCAGGGCAGCTGTGGCTTACCAATGAATGAGGCAATTTATAATGCTTTCACTGTGAAATATGTCATTTTGTTGTCTTTTTTTACTTCCCCAGGAGGTCAACAATAACATATCTGGTAGTATTTTCTCACAATTCACTTGAGGCACAATTGATTTTTTTTAAAAGTTCACTTCCACTACAGATTCTAAATAAAGGAAAAATCTGAGTCCATGCTTTATTTGTTCAGGTTGACCTACAATTCCTCATTCTGACCTATCTGTCCCCCGCTGACCTCTGCCTACTTGGGGGAACTTGTCACTATTGGAGAGGAATGGTGAGGGACCCGCTGCTCTGGAGGTTTTTATTACTCCGAGACATACCTTTTTGGAAGTCCATCGATCACCTGAGTATGCCTCAACTGGAACTATTGGATGCACCTCTGGTTGACTCGGAGGAAAGCCTGGAGGATCGGGTGGAGGGGGTTGACAACGACTCTAAAGTTGACTACATGTCAGAGTAGGTGACTTCTTGAACTGATAATGGCGCAATGATGAATAACTTAAACTCACGTGACTCTGGCCTTCTAGGTATCTCAGAGGTTCTCCTTCCTGCAGACAACAGTGGCTCCCCACATCTGCCCCCTACAAAGTGGTCACTTCATTTTTTCAGTCCTTGGTGGCCTCAGCAGAACCACGCTATGCCATGTTTGGACCAGGCATGGAGCAGCTGGAGGTGTCTTTTGTCACAAAGCTGATGAATTCTCCAGACCTGCTTCCTGTGTCAGTGTCAGGCACATCTCACAGAAAGATGCACGGTGAGAGCTGCAGGTTTGCTTGTTCACCAGCAGATGGCGTGTTTGAGACAGATTTTAGTCTCTCTTTTGGTTTTATATGAACTGCTTTTGGAAGGGAGTTGAAAATCGTGCTCAACATTTTTGCCATAGTTTTGAATTCATTCACCAAAACATTTTAATTATAAACTTCAGCAACATAGAATTTGAATGTCATTGTCAATGTGGTTTTATATACACATTTACCCACTGAGGGACGAATATAGGTTTATCTTATCTTATATAACATCTTATAGTTAAATCCACACTGTGAAACAACACAAACTATAGTATAATGGTGTTTCTTATTGGATATTCTTGTTGCGCTGAAATGTAATTGTTGCTTTAAAATTGTTCTATTCTGTAATCTCAAGATTGTATTATTAATGGTATTGTTATGTAATGTCTGTTACATCGTAGGTATTGGCTCTGGTATCACTTACCTATTTGACAACCAACATAAATTCAACATTTTGACACTTTACTCCACAAATAGGTACGTCCATTTGTGTTTTGTAATATCAATAAAGCAATTTCCAACTGTTGGTGTCTAATGATTACATAAACACTGGGTCTGCAGGGCTGAGAGAGAGAGAGCCAGAATGCAGCAACAAAACGTCGATAACAAACTGTTCACTGTGGAATTAAACGCTGGATCTGAAGTCCCGACGTTCAGCCCAACTCCACATGTGCAGCAAGTGTGTCAGGCAGTGGACGGCTTCATCTACGTGGCCAATGCTGAGCGAGGTGAGGGAGGGGACGGAGATACTGGAAAAGCACTGATAGTCTTAAAGCCAATCAAAAACAGTGACAGTTTATAAAAGCATTAGTAAACTAGTTGTAAAGTCAAAGCAGTGACTTGAAACCATTTGAAATTTCATTAGTTTATTTATTTTTCTAATTTTCAGCCAATTCACTACTACATGGAATTTGTCCTCTGCATTTAACCAATACTTCAACTCCACTGGTGATTTTCACTATTGGCTGCAGGTTTTCATTCCAATCAGCCAGGAGCACCCCAGACTCCACTCATTTCCTCACGTGAGTTAATCTTAACCTGAAGGCTTGATGAATTAGGAGGAATCTGTGCATTTGGAATGAAAACCTGCAGCCACACTTGTCCTTTGAGGACCAGTTTGAAGACCAGGGCAGCCTGTCAGGAGCAGTGGTCGCTACAGGGCAGCACCCCGGAAATTGTCTTCAGCATTGAGGCTCAGCTTGGTCAAGACTACTGGAGCTGGAGGATTTTTAGCTATTGTGCATGCTTTGGGAGGTGGGGCGCCCAGAGGACCCCACCCAGACACGGCAGAAACATGGGGCTGCACGGTAGTGTAGAACTCCACCTTCTGTGTTCTCCCTGTGTCTGCATGGGTTCCTTCAGGTGCTGCGGTTTCCCTTACCACTATAAAGATTTACACTATCTCCTGGTTAAACAAAGATCAATAAAAATGCAGACTCTACACAGAAAGGCTACACAAGAATCAAACCCACAACCTTCTTGCTGTGAAGCATGTAAGCAATGTAACTCTATTATAACAGGAGAAGGAGCAGGCTATGCAATGTGATTGTAATTTGTAATAGGATTTGTATCATCTGGAGAAAAAAATGACCTATTCCTGACTTAAAAGTGAACATTGAATGTTATGTTTTTTCTCTGACGTTACTGAGAGAAAAATATGTATTCTGGAGAATTCTTTCTTTGTCTTCAGCTGATGGGAGTGAGAATGAGCCGGCTCAGGTCCGGGCTTTGTTGAGCTCAGCCTGGGGCTCCACGTCCAGGCCACTCCTGGTGTTGTCCTGTGTCTCCAGAGAGGAGCCTCCGACCCCACACAGAGTCCCCTGCATCCACATGGCCAAGAGGCTGGAGCTGGCAGCACTGGAAAACCCCTGGATGGTAAGAAAGGACTCTCACCATCAGTTTGCTAGATACAGTGCCTTGCGAAAGTATTCGGCCCCCTTGAACCTTTCAACATTTCGCCACATTTCAGCTTAAAACATAAAGATATAAAAATCAATTTTTTTGTCAAGAATCAACAACAAGTGGGACACAATCGTGAAGTGGAACGAAATTTATTGGATAATTTAAACTTTTTTAACAAATAAAAAACTGAAAAGTGGGGCGTGCAATATTATTCGACCCCTTTACTTTCAGTGCAGCAAACTCAGTCCAGAAGTTCAGTGAGGATCTTTGAATGATCCAATGTTGTCCTAAATGACTGATGATGATAAATAGAATGCACCTGTGTGTAATCAAGTCTCCGTATAAATGCACCTGCTCTTTGATAGTCTCAGGGTTCTGTTTAAAGCACAGAGAGAACCATGAAGACAAAGGAACACACCAGGCAGGTCCGAGATACTGTTGTGGAGAAGTTTAAAGCCGGATTTGGATACAAAAAGATTTCCCAAGCTTTAAACATCTCAAGGAGCACTGTGCAAGCAATTATATTGAAATGGAAGGAGTATCAGACCACTGCAAATCTACCAATGCCCAGCCGTCCCTCCAAACCTTCATCTCAAACAAGGAGAAGACTGATCAGAGATGCAGTCAAGAGGCCCATGATCACTTTGGATGAACTGCAGATAACTACAGCTGAGGTGGGAGAGTCTGTCCATAGGACAACAATCAGTCGTGCACTGCACAAATCTGGCCTTTATGGAAGAGTGGCAAGAAGAAAGCCATTTCTCAAAGATATCCATAAAAAGTCTTGTTTAAAGTTTGCCACAAGCCACCTGGGAGACACACCAAACATGTGGAAGAAGGTGCTCCGGTCAGATGAAACCAAAATCAAACTTTTTGGCCACAATGCAAAACGATATGTTTGGCGTAAAAGCAACACAGCTCATCACCCTGAACACACCATCCCCACTGTCAAACATGGTGGTGGCAGCATAAGTAAGTAAGTAAGTAAGCTTTATTTATATACCGCCTTTCACAGACCAGAGTCACAAAGCGGTTTACAATTGTTATTTTTTGGGCATTTGTCTCTCACTCCACACAGAGATGGGAGCGGGGTCGCCGAACAGGAGGCGCATGCCAGAACTATTGTACATATTTTTAGACAAACTCCACTCAGAAAGGCCCTGGTCCGGCCGGGATTCGAACCCAGGACCTTCTTGCTGAGAGGCGAGAGTGCTATCCACTCAGCCACCATGCCGCCCGCATCATGGTTTCGGCCTGCTTTTCTTCAGCAGGGACAGGGAAGATGGCTAAAATTGATGGGAAGATGGATGGAGCCAAATACAGGACCATTCTGGGAGAAAACCTGTTGGAGTCTGCATAAGACCTGAGACTGGGATGGAGATTTATCTTCCATCAGGACAATGATCCAAAACATAAAGCCAAATCTACAATGGAATGGTTCACAAATAGACGTATCCAGGTGTTAGAATGGCCAAGTCAAAGTCCAGACCTGAATCCAATCGAGAATCTGTGGAAAGAGCTGAAGACTGCTGTTCACAAACGCTCTCCATCCAACCTCACTGAGCTCGAGCTGTTTTACAAGGAAGAATGGGAAAGAATTCCAGTCTCTCGATGTGCAAAACTGATAAAGACATACCCCAAGCGACTTGCAGCTGTAATTGCAGCAAAAGGTGGAGCTACAAAGTATTAGCGCAAGGGGGCCGAATAATATTGCACGCCCCACTTTTCAGTTTTTTATTTGTTAAAAAAGTTTAAATTATCCAATAAATTCCGTTCCACTTCACGATTGTGTCCCACTTGTTGTTGATTCTTGACAATTTTTTTTTTTTTAAATATCTTTATGTTTGAAGCCTGAAATGTGGCGAAAGGTTCAAGGGGGCCGAATACTTTCGCAAGGCACTGTAATACTTTCCCCATTGGATGTCCTGTTTTTAGAATAATGGTATGACACAACAAATGTTTGTTTTAGAGAACCCTGGGTATTATTACAGGTAATAGTAACCAATAATAATATTACACAGACATTATTATGTCATAAAATGCAAATAAGCAAGTTAATTTTTTTTATAAAATTACTTTATAAGGAAGGACAATTACAATCAGTTACTTCAGATTGGGTGCGTTGGAGGAGAGGCCTGTACAGCCTAAAGACTTATTCCTGTCCACCGTCTTACTTGCAAAATAAAAATGTATTGGGAATGTGACGTTTCGATGTTTTGCCTTCATCAAGCATGCAGTATATACTTTAAATATACATGTATGGTAGTAAGTATAGGTAGTATCTCCTAAAGATGGCCAACATGAGAGTATTCTCATGAGATGTACTGTATGTTTTCCCCTCAGGTCCAGGATGTAGCAGCAGATTCACTTTCAGGGCTTCTAGATGGCCTTTCATGGATACTGAGGTGCTCTGGTGTCACACTACGCTCTCGATAGTTGCCACAAATTTGGCCAAAGATATTAAAATCAAAGACTACAAATGTGGTAATAACAGAACAGGATCCAGGAATGGAATATAATTTTATTTCCCACAAATGTCTGTTTTTTGTTGACCAAACTCTTAGGTAGAGATATAGATTTTCACTTTTTAGTGGTTTTGTGAAATTGCATTATTTCAATTTTAAAGGATGGCTTTAGTGTTAGAATAGTTATAATATATTACAACATATTGTCAAATTAAATTCTGGTACATACAGAAGTATCCTGTAAAGGATACTCTTTTGCTGCCTCTCAAAGTTTTTATGAACACAGGCCATGCTATTATTGTCAGCATGAAGTCTCTTCATTGTTTGTAATTGTATTTTGAAATAGATTCAAGTCATGGATTAGTGCCTGACTGCAGAAGATTAGAATCCTGTAGGAAAACAGCAATATGTACCTTAGACATTACAGGATATAATATATCTATTTATATAACCTTTAATCTGGCCTGACTTCTTTCTTTTTTTGAAAGATTTGTCTCCCCATATAATACTTCAAGGGGAGACATTTTGTAAATTCAAAAGCACACAAACAATATCAACCCAAACACTAAACATATACATACAAGCGTTGGGCAAAGTGTACTCACTTTCTGTTAATGGCCCAGACAAATTCTAGAGAACAGCCTAAAAAACGTACATGTTTTTACCTCCATTCTTATCCTGACTGCGAATGACAAGTTAATGTCTGTCTTTGCAGTCAGATATTGTTCCAGTCCTTTGGATAACTCATCCTCCTCTTCACAAAGCTTAATTGGAACAATTACTTTCACAGGTGGATTCAGAAAAAGAACTGATTTGGCAATAAGATAAGAGTTTCTTTATTCGTCCCAGAGTGGGGAAATTTTGAGATACAATAGGCTTGTTGAATTTTATCAAATCGACCTTGGCTGAATAGGATTTTGAATGTTCTGTATGTGAAGTTATCCTATATCTTTGTGACAAACCTTTTAATTACAATAAATGCTTTATATTTCACCATGTAGATCACTATTTTGGATATTGTAAATATATATTTTGGATGTATAACTGCTGAATCAGTAATTAAAGTAATTTACTTCAAAACACATCATGACATAAAATAATACAAAAACACTTTTCCTTGATAAATACATAGTTCCCACAGACCAATGAATGTCACATGACCTCCTCGGAGACGCCATCTTTGATGGCACGCTGCTGTGTTTGTGCATTCCATTAAACAGAAGAATGAGAATAAATGTAGATATTCAAACGCAAATTGGAAAAAAAGGGCAACTTTTGAGCAAATAATTGTATATTAATACAATGGCACCACAGTTTAACGTGCTACGGACATGTTTTACATATTTGATCAAATTATGCAGCAAAAATTAACAAGCAATGCAAACATTTCTAAAAAACTTTAGATTTAATACCAGTTGGAGCTCCATTTAATTATTTTAATTATATTAACAACTAGAAACTTGCAATGGCTGAAGCCATTGCGATTGACTGCGGAACAGATCTAATGTGGAAATCTGCTAAAAAAAATCCTTGAAATCCTTTAAAAAGCCTTGAAACTGTTAAAATACTTGATAGATATTTGAAACTCCTGAAGTCCTTGAAATTGTTGAAACCTTTAAACTCCTGAAATCCTTGAAACTGTTGAAACATTGAAACTCCTGAAATCCTTGAAACTTTTTTAAACCTGGAAACTGTTGAAAGTGTGGAAACTCCTGAAATCCTTGAACCTCCTGATATCCTTGAAACTGGTTAAATTCTTAAACAGCTGAAATCCTTGAAACTACTGAATGTATTGAAAGTGTCCTTGAAACTGAAAAATCCCCTCACCGCTGAAACAATTTGGTTCCTGTAACTAAGGAAACCTGGTCTGTGGTCATTATCTGGTGGTGGTCTGAGTCTTCGTTTGGGTCTTGGTCTGGTGGTATAATGCAACCTATTAGGTTGCATTATACATGAAAAAACCCTATTAAGTTGCATTATACTGGTTTACATTAAAAAAACATGGAAAAGTCCCCATTAGTTGTTCATTATACTGGTTTACATGAAAAAAACCCTATTAAGTTGCATTATACTGGTTTACATGGAAAACCCCTATTAAGTTGCATTATACTGGTTTACATGTAAAAACCCCTATTAAGTTGCATTATACTGGTTTACATGGAAAAAATCCCTATTAAGTTGCATTATACTGGTTTACATGAAAAAACCCTAATTAAGTTGCATTATACTGGTTTACATGGAAAAATCCCTATTAAGTTGCATTATAACTGGTTTACATGGAAAAATCCCTATTAAGTTGCATTATACTGGTTTACATGGAAAAATCCCTATTAGGTTGCATTATACTGGTTTACATGTACAAATCCCTATTAAGTTGCTTTATACTGGTTTACATGTAAAAACCCCTATTAGGGTTACATTATAGTGGTTTACATGTAAAAATCCTTATTAAGTTGCATTATACTGGTTTACATGTAAAAACCCCTATTAAGTTCCATTATACTGGTTTACATGTAAAAACCCCTATTAAGTTCCATTATACTGGTTTACATGTAAAAACCCTATTAAGTTGCATTATACTGGTTTACATGAAAAAAAACCCTATTAAGTTGCATTATACTGGTTTACATGGAAAAATCCCTATTAAGTTGCATAATACTGGTTTACATGGAAAAATCCCCATTAAGTTGCATTATACTGGTTTACATGGAAAAATCCCTATTAAGTTGCATTATACTGGTTTACATGGAAAAATCCCTATTAAGTTGCATAATACTGGTTTACATGGAAAAATCCCCATTAAGTTGCATTATACTGGTTTACATGGAAAAATCCCCATTAAGTTGCATTATACTGGTTTACATGGAAAAATCCCTATTAAGTTGCATTGTACTGGTTTACATGGAAAAAACCCTATTAAGTTGCATTATACTGGTTTACATGGGAAAAAACCCTATTAAGTTGCATTATACTGGTTTACAATGTAAAAACCCCTATTAAGTTGCATTATACTGGTTTACATGGAAAAATCCCCCCATTAAGTTGCATTATACTGGTTTACATGAAAAAAAACCCTATTAAGTTGCATTATACTGGTTTACATGAAAAAACCCTATTAAGTTGCATTATACTGGTTTACATGGAAAAATCCCTATTAAGTTGCATTATACTGGTTTACATGGAAAAATCCCTATTAGGTTGCATGATTACACTGAAGTCCTTGAAACTGCTGAAGTCCTTGAAACTGCTGAAGTCCCTTGAAACTGCTGAAGTCCTTGAAACTGTTGAAGTCCTTGAAACTCTTGAAATCTTGAAACTGCTGAAATCCTTGAAACTGTTGAATCCTTGAAACTGTTGAATCATTGAAACTGTAGAAATGTCTGAAAGAGCTGAAGTCCTATTAAAATGCATGGGCCTATTAAATATGCATTGCAGAATTCTCAATGCAGATTTTTGTCCGATTGCGGAAAAACCGGAAATCGCTGAAGTCCCAAAAGTAATAGCAATAATCTCCCAAACATGTGGAACGTTTTGATGTATAAACTTGTGGAAATTGTTGAAAATGTGAAAGCTGTGAAACGTGTCAAAAAAAATGACGGAATAAAGAAATACAAAACCAATGGTTGGACTGCGGAAGGTTCCGCAGTCAATCAATTGTAATTGATTGACTGCGGGAACCTTCCGCAGTCAACCATTGGTGTTTGTATTTCTTTATTCCGTCATTGATTGACTGCGGAACCCTTCCGCAGTCAACCATTGGTTTGGTATTTCTTTATTCGTCATTGATTGACTGCGGAACCTTCCGCAGTCAACCATTGGTTTTGTCATTTCTTTATTCCGTCATTTTTTTTGACACGTTTCACAGCTTTCACATTTTCAACAATTTCCACAAGTTATACATCAAAACGTTCCACATGTTTGGGAGATTATTGCTATTACTTTTGGGACTTCAGCGATTTCCGGTTTTTCCGCAATCGGACAAAAAATCGGTCCGAATTTTCCCATTGACTTATCATGGGGCTTCCACAAATTCATAGTTTCAGCAACATTTTCCAGCATTTTCTGCAGTTTGTTGCCTGTTCAGGCCACAACTTGTGCAGAAAAAATTAGAGTTCTGCAGGTTTCCCATACGCTTGGGAATTCTGCCATTAATTTTTTGCATTGAGAATTCTGCATGCATTTGAATAGGCCCATGCATTTTTAATCAGAGCACTTTTCTACAGTTTCAATGAGTTTCAACAGTTTCAAGGATTCAACAGTTTCAAGACTTTTTCAAGGACTTCAGCAGTTTCAAGGACTGTTTCAAGGACATCAAACAGTTCAAGGACTTTTCAAGGTTTCCACAGTTTCAAGGTTTCAACAATTTCAAGTTTTTCAAGGGACAGTTTCAAGGTTCAACAGTTTCAAGGTTTCAACAGTTTCAAGGTTTCATCAAAACAGTTTCAAGGACTTCCAACATTTCAGGACTTTTCAAGTTTCAACTTCAAGTGTCAATCATGCAACCTAATAGGGATTTTTCCATGTAAACCAGTATTATGCAACTTAATAGGGATTTTTCCATGTAAACCAGTAAATGCAACTTAATAGGGATTTTTCCATGTAAACCAGTATAATGCAACTTAATAGGGTTTTTACATGTAAACCAGTATAATGCAACTTAATAGGGTTTTTTTTCATGTAAACCAGTATAATGCAACTTAATGGGGATTTTTCCATGTAAACCAGTATAATGCAACTTAATAGGGGTTTTTTACATGTAAACCAGTATAATGCAACTTAATAGGGTTTTTTCCATGTAAACCAGTATAATGCAACTTAATAGAGGTTTTTCCATGTAAACCAGTATAATGCAACTTAATAGGGTTTTTTTCATGTAAACCAGTATAATGCAACTTAATGGGGATTTTTCCATGTAAACCAGTAGTATACAACTTAATAGGGTTTTTTTTCCATGTAAACCAGTATAATGCAACTTAATAGGGTTTTTCCATGTAAACCAGTATAATGCAACTTAATAGGGTTTTTTTTCATGTAAACCAGTATAATGCAACTTAATGGGGATTTTTCCATGTAAACCAGTATAATGCAACTTAATAGGGTTTTTTTTTTACATGTAAACCAGTATAATGGAACTTAATAGGGTTTTTTCCATGTAAACCAGTATAATGCAACTTAATAGGGATTTTTTCCATGTAAACCAGTATAATGCAACTTAATAGGGATTTTTCCATGTAAACCAGTATAATGCAACTTAATAGGGTTTTTCATGTAAACCAGTATAATGCAACTTAATAGGGTTTTTTTTCATGTAAACCAGTATAATGCAACTTAATGGGGATTTTTCCATGTAAACCAGTATAATGCAACTTAATAGGGGTTTTTACATGTAAACCAGTATAATGCAACTTAATAGGGTTTTTTCCATGTAAACCAGTATAATGCAACTTAATAGGGATTTTTCCATGTAAACCAGTATAATGCAACTTAATAGGGTTTTTTCATGTAAACCAGTATAATGCAACTTAATAGGGATTTTTCCATGTAAACCAGTATTAATGCAACTTAATAGGGATTTTTCCATGTAAACCAGTATAATGCAACTTAATAGGGGTTTTTCCATGTAAACCAGTATAATGCAACTTAATAGGGGATTTTTCCATGTAAACCAGTATAATGCAACTTAATAGGGATTTTTCCATGTAAACCAGTATAATGCAACTTAATAGGGTTTTTTCCATGTAAACCAGTATAATGCAACTTAATAGGGATTTTCCATGTAAACCAGTATAATGCAACTTAATAGGGTTTTTTTACATGTAAACCAGTATAATTGCAACTTAATAGGGTTTTTCCATGTAAACCAGTATAATGCAACTTAATAGGGATTTTTCCATGTAAACCAGTATAATGCAACTTAATAGGGATTTTTCCATGTAACCAGTATAATGCAACTTAATAGGGTTTTTTTCATGTAAACCAGTATAATGCAACTTAATGGGGATTTTTCCATGTAAACCAGTATTATGCAACTTAATAGGGATTTTTCCATGTAAACCAGTATAATGCAACTTAATAGGGTTTTTTATCATGTAAACCAGTATAATGGAACTTAATAGGGGTTTTTACATGTAAACCAGTATAATGGAACTTAATAGGGGTTTTTACATGTAAACCAGTATAATGCAACTTAATAGGGATTTTTACATGTAAACCAGTATAATGCAACTTAATAGGGATTTTTACATGTAAACCAGTATAATGCAACTTAATGGGGATTTTACATGTAAACCAGTATAATGCAACTTAATAGGGTTTTTTCCATGTAAACCAGTATAATGCAACTTAATAGGGATTTTTCAATGTAAACCAGTATAATGCAACTTAATAGGGATTTTTCCATGTAAACCAGTATAATGCAACCTAATAGGGATTTTTCCATGTAAACCAGTATAATGCAACCTAATAGGGATTTTTCCATGTAAACCAGTATAATGCAACCTAATAGGTTGCATTATACCACCAGACCAAGACCCAAACGAAGACTCAGACACCACCAGATAATGACCACAGACCAGTTTCCTTAGTTACAGGAACCAAATTGTTTCAGCGGTGAGGGGATTTTTCAGTTTCAAGGACACTTTCAATACATTCAGTAGTTTCAAGGATTTCAACTGTTTAAGAATTTAACCAGTTTCAAGGATATCAGGAGGTTCAAGGATTTCAGGAGTTTCCACACTTTCAACAGTTTCCAGGTTTAAAAAAAGTTTTCAAGGATTTCAGGAGTTTCAGTTGTTTCAACAGTTTCAAGGATTTCAGGAGTTTAAAGGTTTCAACAATTTCAAGGACTTCAGGAGTTTCAATATCTATCAAGTATTTTAACAGTTTCAAGGCCTTTTAAAGGATTTCAAGGATTTTTTTTAGCAGATTTCCACATTAGATCTGTTCCGCAGTCAATCGCAATGGCTTCAGCCATTGCAAGTTTCTAGTTTTTTTTTTGACACGTTTCACAGCGTTTTCACATTTTCAACAATTTCCACAATGTTATACATCAAAACGTTCCACATGTTTGGGAGATTATTGCTATTACTTTTGGGACTTCAGCGATTTCCGGTTTTTCCGCAATCGGACAAAAATCTGCATTGAGAATTCTGCAATGCATTTTTAATAGGCCCATGCATTTTAATAGGACTTCAGCTCTTTCAGACATTTCTACAGTTTCAATGATTCAACAGTTTCAAGGATTCAACAGTTTCAAGGATTTCAGCAGTTTCAAGATTTCAAGAGTTTCAAGGACTTCAACAGTTTCAAGGACTTCAGCAGTTTCAGGCAGCAGTTTCAAGGACTTCAGCAGTTTCAAGGACTTCAGTGTAATCATGCAACCTAATAGGGATTTTTCCATGTAAACCAGTATAATGCAACTTAATAGGGATTTTTCCATGTAAACCAGTATAATGCAACTTAATAGGGTTTTTTCATGTAAACCAGTATAATGCAACTTAATAGGGTTTTTTTCATGTAAACCAGTATAATGCAACTTAATGGGGATTTTTCCATGTAAATCAGTATAATGCAACTTAATAGGGGTTTTTACATGTAAACCAGTATAATGCAAACTTAATAGGGTTTTTTCCATGTAAACCAGTATAATGCAACTTAATAGGGTTTTTTCCATGTAAACCAGTACTAATGCAACTTAATAGGGATTTTTCCATGTAAACCAGTATAATGCAACTTAATAGGGTTTTTTCCATGTAAACCAGTATAATGCAACTTAATAGGGGATTTTTCCATGTAAACCAGTATATGCAACTTAATAGGGATTTTTCCATGTAAACCAGTATAATGCCAACTTAATAGGGATTTTTCCATGTAAACCAGTATAATGCAACTTAATAGGGTTTTTTTCATGTAAACCAGTATAATGCAACTTAATGGGGATTTTTCCATGTAAACCAGTATTAATGCAACTTAATAGGGATTTTTGCACATGTAAACCAGTATAATGCAACTTAATAGGGTTTTTACATGTAAACCAGTATAATGGAACTTAATAGGGGTTTTTACATGTAAACCAGTATAATGGAACTTAATAGGGTTTTTTTACATGTAAACCAGTATAATGCAACTTAATAAGGATTTTTACATGTAAACCACTATAATGTAACCTAATAGGGGTTTTTACATGTAAACCAGTATAAATGCAACTTAATAGGGATTTGTACATGTAAACCAGTATAATGCAACCTAATAGGGATTTTTCCATGTAAACCAGTATAATGCAACTTAATAGAGATTTTTCCATGTAAACCAGTATAATGCAACTTAATAGGGATTTTTCCATGTAAACCAGTATAATGCAACCTAATAGGGATTTTTCCATGTAAACCAGTATAATGCAACTAATAGGGATTTTTCCATGTAAACCAGTATAATGCAACCTAATAGGTTGCATTATACCACCAGACCAAGACCCAAACGAAGACTCAGACCACCACAGATAATGACCACAGACCAGGTTTCCTTAGTTACAGGAAACAAATTGTTTCAGCGGTGAGGGGATTTTTCAGTTTCAAGGACACTTTCAATACATTCAGTAGTTTCAAGGATTTCAACTGTTTAAGAATTTAACCAGTTTCAAGGATATCAGGAGGTTCAAGGATTTCAGGAGTTTCCACACTTTCAACAGTTTCCAGGTTTAAAAAAGTTTCAAGGATTTCAGGAGTTTCAATGTTTCAACAGTTTCAAGGATTTCAGGAGTTTAAAGGTTTCAACAATTTCAAGGACTTCAGGAGTTTCAAATATCTATCAAGTATTTTAACAGTTTCAAGGCCTTTTTAAAGGATTTCAAGGATTTTTTTTAGCAGATTTCCACATTAGATCTGTTCGCAGTCAATCGCAATGGCTTCAGCCATTGCAAGTTTCTAGTTTTTATTGATTGACTGCGGAACCTTCCGCAGGTCAACCATTGGTTTTGTATTTCTTTATTCCGTCATTTTTTTTGACACGTTTCACAGCTTTCACATTTTCAACAATTTCCACAAGTTTAGTACATCAAAACGTTCCACATGTTTGGGAGATTATTGCTATTACTTTTGGGACTTCAGCGATTTCCGGTTTTTCCGCAACCCACACGGACAAAAATCTGCATTGAGAATTCTGCAATGCATTTTAATAGGCCCATGCATTTTAATAGGACTTCAGCTCTTTCAGACATTTCTACAGTTTCAATGATTCAACAGTTTCAAGGACTTTCAACAGTTTCAAGGATTTCAGCAGTTTCAAGATTTCAAGAGTTTCAAGGACTTCAACAGTTTCAAGGACTTCAGCAGTTTCAGCAGTTTCAAGGACTTCAGCAGTTTCAAGGACTTCAGATTCGACAGTTTCAAGGACT